GTCACACCTGGGGCGCTGTTACACCTGGGGCTGTGTCACCCCCGAGTGGGTGTCACCCCTGGCGGTGTCCCCGTGTCACCCGTGCCGTGTCCCCGTGTCCCCAGGCGCCTGCGCTGCACGCGGAACCTGATCCACGCCAACCTCTTCGTGTCCTTCGCGCTCCGCGCCGGCGCCATCCTGACCCGGGACGCGCTGCTGCCCCACGGGCACGCGCACGGGAGCGCGCAGGGCCACCCCCTGCAGCTGCTGGGCATGCAGGTGGGCAGGGGACAGCGGGGGACAGCGGGGGACAGCCCTGGGGACAGCGGGGGACACCCCTGGGGACACCCCCGGGGACAGCCGGGGGAGTGGATGACACCCACGGGGACACTGATGGGAGCAGGGGACACGCAGGGGACACCTGTGGGAGGGAGGGGACACCGCTCGGGGGTGGCTGTCACCCAGTGCCACCCCGGGCCGCGCTGTGGCGGGGAGGGGACAGCGGTGTCGCCGCAGGCCGGCCCCGCGTGCCGCGTGGCGCAGAGCCTGGCCCAGTACTGCGTGGGAGCCAACTACGCGTGGGCCTTGGCCGAGGGGCTCTTCCTGCTCCGCCTCCTGCTCGCCACCTCCGCTCGCCGCTGCTTGCCCGCGTTCCTGCTGCTCGGCTGGGGTGCGACATGGCCCTGTCACCTGTGCTACCTGTGTCACCTGTGTGTCACCTGTGTGCCACCTGTGCCACCTGTGTCACCTGTGCCACCTCCTGTGCCACCTGTGTGTTACCTGTGCCACCTGTGCTACCTATGTCACCTGTGCCACCTGTGTGTCACCTGTGTGTCACCTGTCACCTGTGCCACCTGTGTGTCACCAGTGTCACCTGTGTGCCGCCTGTGTGTCACCTGTCACCCGTGTCACCTCCCGTGTCTTTGTGTCCCCCCAGGCCCCCCTAACCAGGTGTGTGTCCCCCCCTCCAGGTGTCCCCGTGCTCTTCGTGGTCCCCTGGGTTGTCCTGCGCTACCTGTACGAGAACGAGGGGTGAGGCCACGTGTCCCCCGCGCTGTCCCCGCGCTGTCCCCTGCGAGGGGCGCCGGTGACACAGGTGACACCTGCGCAGGTGTTGGGAGCGCAACGAGAAGGTGGCGGTGTGGTGGGTGATCCGCTGTCCCATCCTGGCGGCTGTGGCGGTGGGTGACATCGCGGGGGGGGTGGCGGTGTCCCCTCCCCACCCCGGGGGGTGTCACCGCAGGTGTCCCCTCCCCTCCCCTCCCCCCCCCCAGGTGAATTTCGTGGTTTTCGTGCGGATCGTGCGGATCCTGGTGGCCAAGGTGCGCGCGCACCAGGTGTCCCGCGGGGACACGCGGCTCAGGTGGGGACACGGGAACACCTGGGGCAGGTGGGGACATCGGGGGGGGGGACACGGGGACACCTGGGGCAGGTGGGGACATCGATGGGGGGACGGACACGGGAACACCTGGGGCAGGTGGGGACATCGGGGGGGGGACGGACACGGGAACACCTGGGGCAGGTGGGGACACCAGATCTCCAAACGCTTTCCCCGCCCACGGGCGTGTCCCCAGGGGTGTCACCGTGCCCGGAGGTGTCCCCAAATTTACCTGGGCGTGTCCCCAGCCTTGTCCC